CATTCTATCGCACTTCCCCCAAATCACTGCCTTTTTTTTCTCATCAGCTTTCTTCTTGCCTTTAGATCTATTACTCTTCTTCTCCTTGAGTGTCTTACAATTCTTTACAAAATTGGTATAGATTATATTAGACGTTGTCCCACTCATTTTTATCAAAATTCCTTCCTTTGGCAAACCGGTAATTCTGTGAATATCATCTATACCAAACACACAATTTTTATTCCTAATCATAAATGAGCATGTATCGGAGTTAAAATTTTGAATCAAGCAATCAATTGATATTTGCTCATTGCTCAAGGATGTGGGTAACTTGAGAAAGTTGTGAAAAGACGTCGTCTCTAGGGCTTTTATGTGTCTTTCATCCAATATTATTCGCTTATCAATTAAATCTCAAAAATAACACAAATTAGACAGAATTCTCAATTGTGTAATCATAGCTCTACAAGAAAATTATAATTTATAAATAGTTAAAAATTATATATATTTGGGCAAATTAAGACGCATTTTAACACAAATAATTAACCTAAAAATTAAATAGATACTCGATATGACAATAATCACAATAATTTTTACAAGTTTATTAACACAAACATTATCTCATGGCTTAGAACACTGCCGCATATGACAGGGGTACTCTGATAAAAAATAATCACCCCACCCATTAGACTGTCATTGTTTCATATGGGGTTTCTATATCTAAACAAAAAACTACATAATACATAACAGATTTGGAGAAGGGGAGAAACACATGCAAGAGGATATATCTTATCAAGCAAAGGCAGCAATTTCAACTTTCGACGCATATTAAAACAAACATTATATCTCATAAAAAATTTTGCTTACGACGTTAGAGGATGATTGCATTTAGAAGAGGAAGGCTTTGATTTTGAAGAAATCGAAGGCGTTGACGCTTTCGATTTGTTCGAAGTCATGATGGCTGATGAAGAGGTCGAAGCGAGCTCCAAGCGAGGGGATGTCGAGGGAGAGTGCGAGCTTCAGCGGCGACGCTGAGCGGGGGCGCATGGCCTGAGGGCTTACCTTGATATCCAATTTAACAAAAATACAATCTTAAAATTTAAACTAAAAAATAAACATATTCATAATTCATATCTCATAATCAACAAGAAGTACATGTTAAAAAGTTCATAACTATCGTTAAGGGATTAGAGGAGACCTGACGGCTTATAAGATGATGGCGGGCGAGTGCGATGAGCCGGCGGCAACGCTGAGCGAAGGAGATCTCGGTGCTGGAGAGGATGAGGGAGAGGTGATGGCGAGGGGTTGTCGAGGACGAGTGCGAGCTTCAGCGGCGACGCAGAGCGGGGCGGATGGCTTCGCCTGAGCGGCAGCGTGATCTGACGCTAAAGAGGAGACGACGGTGGTGAGCAGGGGTGGATGTGGAGGGGCTCAGGCAAGCTTCGGTGGCGACGATCTTCGGAGGTCTGGGAGACAGTGGTAGATGGCGAGGTCTGGGAGACTGAGGGGCTCAGACTGAGGGGCGGCGGGAACCGGCATTGAAGGGGACGGCGGCGACGATCTCCGGAGGTCGATGGCGAGGTCTGGGAGACGGTGGCAAATAGGAGGAGACGGAGGCAACAATTTTTTTTTTGAAGGAGGTTCACGCGATTTTTTTCAACTGGGAGACACAGCCGTAGCGACGAATTTTTTTTTTGAAGATATGTTCACGTGATTTTTTTTCAACTGGGAGGGGAGACGCGATGTTGAAGGGGACCACATGAGATGAGGGTTTTTATTTTTTGGGAATTTGTTTTTCTTTTTTGGAAATTGTTATTGAATCAAGGGCTTAGATTATTTTGTGGTTTTTGAATCAATGGCTTAGATTTCGCATCCTTAGGCTGCACCTAGTGAGTCACCTTAGATTCACTTTTCTCATATATATATATATATATATATATATATGAGAAAAGTGAATCTAAGGTGACTCACTAGGTGCAGCCTAAGGATGCGAAATCTAAGCCATTGATTTAAAAACCACAAAATAATCTAAGCCCTTGATTCAATAACAATTTCCAAAAAAGAAAAACAAATTCCCAAAAAATAAAAACCCTCATCTCATGTGGTCCCCTTCAACATCGCGTCTCCCCTCCCAGTTGAAAAAAAATCACGTGAACATATCTTCAAAAAAAAAATTCGTCGCTACGGCT